CCAAATAGGATTAGTTCATGGTTGGGTTCGAAATAAGCAAGCACAAAGCAAGTTTATCCGTTCCTTACAACCCAAATGATAAAATATGAAAGCAAAGGGAAGGAGGAAAAGCCTTCGACGTGCATTGCCGGAGCTTCCCTCGGCCACCATGAACTGCCCCAGCGAACTAGCTCCTCTCAGACGCCTAAAATGCCACTCCCTCAAGCTTGTCGCGGAGAAATACCGCGGTAACTAGGATTGACGGAGAAAATGAGAGGCCTTTTTCTCTCTCTATTTAAGCTCAAAACGACGTAAAACCAAAGTCTTCTTCATTGTGGCTTCATCCTCTATTTATAGGGGAAGATTAACCCTAGGACTTGGTGTTGAAATTCCTAGGATACCCCAAACCATGCTTAATTCACGTGAGGATCGGGCAGAGCTGGCAGTGATCCAGCCTGGGTTGCTGGCAGAGTACCTGGTATAATCCCGCTGGAGAAGCTTCAAGAACAGACAGGATCTGCAATGGGCGGCTCGGTCAGCATGAATAGTTGTAGCAGCGCCGATCCCTCCAGGCGAATCCTCGAGGTGGATTTCACGATCAGAGGTCACGTGAAAGTAGGGGATAACTGACTTCGAAAATATCTTCTTTTCTCATTTTGTTCGCTCTCGATATGTCAATCCAACTCGATATTTTCATTCTGCTCAGCAATCTCCTTATGTCACGACATTTCCTTTTTTCTTTTCCTTGCTCTCAATTCCTGCACATCACCAAACAAGTACCTTCCCCATAAAGCAGCACCGCTTACAAAATAGAATGTCGTGACAAACCTAATTCCACCACATGCAATTATATGCTCCTAAATGCACCTACATGGTCCTAAATGAGCTTTTAGACATTCAATAACTTAAGTGAAAAGGTCCCAAAATGTGGCATTTTTACGGAGTTATCAACAATCTACCAAAATAGATAATAGAGTTGTTAAAAAAAGATTTAAAAAGAGGTGTTGTAATATAGTAGGCTATTATCCACAGCCACTTCATTTGTACAGAAAAAATTAAAGATCCAATTGCATCATCTAAGATCAAAACACAATAATAATAATAATAATAATAATAATAATAATAATAATAATATAATAATAATAATAATATATAAAGAGAAAAATCACATACGTATCATATGCTAGCACATCCTTTCACTTCAACCACTTGAATCATTAATATAATATTAATATATATTAAAATTACTTTCAAACCCATATTTGAGGTAGAGGGGTGAAAAGCTGGGATTAGTGGAAGATTCCTTGAATCTCGGCTTGACATGTCTATATTTCGTTGATTTTATTTTATTTTATTTATTTATTTTGATTTCTCTTTGATTCACGTCACTCATCTTTTCGTTATCCCTTTCTTTAATTGTTAGCATTTACTATCCAACTCCATATCAAGCATAGCATGTTGCGTAAATGTTTCGTTCTTCTCTATGTCACCTCAATTTTTCTGAATCATTCAAATTACAAAGTCTTTTGCGATCATACTTTTACAATAGCCAATTTTGCTTCTAAATTGTTAGAAAAATGTACTATTGCAAAATGAGATGTTGGCATTGACTAACATAAATAATAAATAAATAAAATAAAGATAATATAATTACTATGCCATGAAATCACTGTTTTAAAAGTAATTTCGTTTAGATTGATGTAATCTTGAAATTAAATGTTATACCCTCAAGGTTAACACAGTTTTTCAGATTTCGTACACTCGAAATAAAGAAATGAAACTAACTTGATATTGTTATTTTTAAAAATAAAGAAGAATATACGTAAAGAAAACAAGAAATTGATATATAAAATAATGAAGTATAGTTTGATATTTATAAGAAAAAAATAAGAGGTAAATCAATAATAAATAAATGTGATATTTATTTATTTTATTTTATTGTTTGTATTATCCAACGGTGTGGATAGGCGTTAGATAAATATCATTGGTTTTTTTGCCCCAATACTAGGAAAAACTTTTTGGGATATAGGGTTGTCAAAAAATTATTTTAAAATCTACGACATTCTCTACAATACACGGAAAACTCGTCAGGTCACAAGTTCTATTAAAATAATATTTTTTATTGTTATTTACTTTACAATTATTTACAGTTATATACTTTACCTAATCTAAGTAAGTCTCCTAAACAATATTTGTTGCCGGAAGATGTCTAGTCCCTTTAAGCACTGAATTGATACATTCAGCAAGATTGGTTGTCATATGACAACCAAGCCCGTTTCTGAGATTTTGGCGGCCCTAATCAGATGTTTAAATTATAATTTGTATTTGTGTCTTCAATCGTATTGTGTTTATCATTATTGTGAACATAACAAATGATATTGTGGTCGTTGTAAGTATTGTGGTTATGAATTTTTAATAACATATATTATTGTGGACATAACGATTGTTGATATTGCAGTTTTGGACGATGGCTTTACAACTGCATAACAATCATTGTTGTTGTTACATATCGTTATTTAAGTAATTGTTCATAATAATAAGTGTTAAAAATAATTTTAAGAGTAGCTTCATAATAGTAAGTATTTGAAAAAAAAATGAGTCACTAATAACAAACATTAAAAAATTTAAGAGTATGCTCATAATAACAAATAATAAAAAATTAAACCTCCAATAAAAGTATTGAAAAATTAGATTCATAACAACAAATAAATATTAAAAAAAATTGAATTTTAAAAATGTGTCCCTAATAAAAAAATATTGAAAAAATTGGACTCATGTTAATAAGTATTGAAAAAATTGGGTCTTTAATAACAAATGTTAAAAAAATATTGACAAAAAAGTATACATTTATATAAATATTAGAAAAAATAAATTATAAAAACAGACCTATAATAATAAATATTAAAAAAATAAGCCCAAAATAATAAATATTATAAAAGATTTGAAATCATAATAACAAATATTTTAAATAATGAGGGTCCTATAATACATTATAACAATTCTGGGCACTGGGCATGTGCCCCTCTTGCGTAGGCCCAAATACGGTATTGATGACCGTACATTAACCCTGATCATCATATTCAATTAGATGAGTTATAGAATAATATCTTTGTTATATTATAGATTTTCACTATCATGCATGAGGTTTCTTTTAAGGAATGACGACGATCTTGTTAGTATGATTAAGAGATATTTTTATCATTCTTTGCCTAATTTCGATTTATTTGTAGAATTCGTTGATCTTGACCTTCCTCGTATAATTGAGGATATTGCTTCTATCTCGAATATCCCATCAACTCAAACAAATGACGAAGAAACAAACATAAATAATGGAGATTCAGAAGCATGATTCCAGTTTGTACTTGAACGACAACAAGAAAAAAGCATGAATAATTGAAGAACTTAATATTACTTTTGACGAGTCTATTAATTACGAAGATTAAAATATTATAACGAATGCTGTTATGTTTGTGATTTTATATTCTTTTTTTCACCTCTCCTCTAAGTAAGACTAGAAATCAAATTTAAAATTTATTAAAAAATTTATTACAATTTCTTTAAAAAAATAAAAATAAAAATAGTAATATAATATAATCTCATATCTAAAAATTATTTCAATTCAAATAACGTGTTAGAAGAATTCAAATAAATAAAAATACTAATATAATATACATCTAATATCTAATAATTATTTCAATTCAAATAAAATTCAAGCGTTGGGAATGGGCATGGACCGAACCCTACTCGATCGGAACAGACTTTTTTTCTTCTAAAAAAGTAGATTCAAATTGGGTCGGATCAAATTTTTTTAATATTATGTTTGGTCGGGTCGGGTTCGAGTTTAGGGTGAAAATATTCAATTTGATTCAAAAAAATTGTAATCTTACCTTATATATTTAGGGATAATTACAATAATATATCTCTCTATATTATTTTATTTTAATTAAATCCCTATTTTTAATGAATAAAAATAATATTTTTAATAGATATATTATTTTGAGTCGGATCCAGTCGGATTTGAATTTTATCTTAAAAATCGGGTTGAATTTGAATCAGGTGAAATATATATATTTTTGGGTTGAGTGAAAGATTTATAATTTTCACGTCGGGTCGAATGAACCGAAAACCCGACCGACCCGACCCAACCTATGCCCATCCCTATTCAAGTGTAACATATGTTGTTAGTCACAATTTAATGGATTTTTTTATACCGCAAATGCATATCCGACAGTATTGTTTCAACGATTATCATCTTATACACTGATGGTGGAAAAATTTATTTCTATCCAAAATTTAAAGATTATATATAATGTTAAATGTGTTATATCATCTTTTATTTATTTGATTGGTTAAGCTATTCATCTTTATCCAAGCAGTCGCAGAGTATGTGCACGTGTTATCGATTGATAAAAAAAGTTATGAACAAATATTATTTTATAAGTACAGATTCTATTAAAAAAATTAAAACCTAATAGTCTCGTAAAACTGGAAACGAGTGCACGAGGTTAACCAAAATCCCGAATTAGAATGAAAAATATAAAAGATATAGATGGATTGATAAAACTAAAAATTTAAAATTTAAAATTTTTTATATTAATTATTTGATTTTATATCGTTTAAAATTTCACTCATAATTTTATATCTTTAAAATTTTAGTATAACTTTCTGAACTTATAGCTCTTAACATAAAAGTTTATGTAGGTCTGTAATAAAAAAAAAAAAATTTAGAAGCAGCATAATTCATCTGAATTGGACTGCCCTAATTCTACTCATTCTGATTTTTTTGAATGACCGTCCAACCCTCCTTAAAAAAACAGCCGTTGAAGAATTGCAAAACACAACGATCAATCCAACGGTAGCCACCCCTTTATTCTCCTTTCCCTTTTGTCCTAAGATCCGTTATCAACGGTCCAATTGTTTAATTCCAGAATAACGTGCCTTATTAAATTATTTAATACAACAATTATAATAAATTAATTAATGTCACGACCAACCATCCTATTTTAAAGGGCCTCACTTCTCTTCCAAATTCACAGCTATTTTTTCTCCTAATTTTCATAGAAAATCTTTTCCTTTCAATGCCATAAAATTTCTTTAGAATCTTCTTGCTATTCAATCTTGCTTTTTGATTATTTGGTCACCAAGAAACTCGAATCCTTCCTCTCTCGTTCTCGGATTAATCCAATCCACTCCACCGCCTGCGGTCAAACCGGAGCCTACACATCTCCCAGACTGACACCAGCGACCGCATCGCCATCGCCATCCCCTCGTTATCTTTAAAAAAAGAATGGACGAGATGGAACTGAAGAAGATTTTCCAGGTGTTCGACAGGAACGGAGACGGAACGATCACGAAGAAAGAATTAAACGATTCGTTGGAGAATATGGGCATCTTTATTCCCGACAGTGATTTGACACTTATGATTGAACGGATCGATGTGGATGGCGATATGTGTATCGACATCGACGAGTTTAGCGAGTTGTATCAATCGATTATGGATAGTAAGGATAATGAAGAAGAAGATATGAAGGAAGCTTTCAACGTTTTTGATCAAAACAGAGACGGCTACATTTCCGTCGATGAATTGAGATCCGTTTTGGAATCACTGGGACTTAAGCAAGGGAAAGCGATGGAAGACTGCAAGAGGATGATAATGAAAGTAGATGTAGACGGTGATGGTAGGGTTAATTTTATGGAGTTCAAGCAAATGATGAAAGGAGGCGGCTTTAGTGCATTGGCTTAACTTTGGATATGTAGGCTTCTTCTTCTTCTTCTTCTTCTTCTTCTTGGATCTGTAGATAGGGTTTGATTTTATGAAATTGGTTTGGGGATTTGGTGGTTTTATTGTTTCTGCTTCTCAACTTTTTCCAATGTTAATTTTCTTTGTTCTTTGTATATGATTTGCTTAGATGATATTTAAGAAGGAATTGTTTTTTCTTTTGTTTTAATCGGATTTGTGTTATTTTTCCATGTGCCTACACCAAACAACAAACCCGATCCCAGAATAATGAGTAAGCTATTCGTTGTAATATTAGAAATTAGACTTAATATAACAATTTTGTTCAAATTATTCTCTTTTTCATGTTATAAGTGAATATAGTTATAAGTCAAAGATGGTACGAGTGCTTATTGTCAGATAACCGAGAGTCTTTCGAACATAAATTTAACTATTTTACGATGAATATTCATATCCACCCGTGCTCGAACCTGAAACCTGGTCCTCAAAGGAATGAAGGATAACAACCCCTTGACCTACTATGAATTTCTTCTTCAGGAGGTTGGATGAGGTGATGTATGCCCTGGGGAATGACCGCGCGTGTTTAGGGAAACATCTAAATTTCTGGTCGAATTCTAGAAGAAGAAAGTGAAAGAATCAAGGGCTGCTTGTAAAACATATTGACCTCCAATATAATCGAAGTCCAACTTATGGGTAGATTCAGCTGAGCGTCTTCCAACCACTCCAAGGAAATTAAAATGTTACAATTAGGTCCTTATTATGTACTTAGGTTCTCGAGTTATCAACCATGTTTCAAATAGCTTACAACCTTAATTCAGCTTATCTACTTTTAACCACTATTCAAAAGCTCAGTTCCTACTCAAACTCTAATGTAAATAATCCAGTTTAAAGTCGAGCATACGAATCATTCCTATTGGCGAACAAGCTCAAAAAGTGAATTGCAGCTTTAAAAGTTAAACTCAATCGAGCTTAACCGAACTACGACTCGTGAATTTCAGGTTGAGCTCGAACTTCTTACAGTTCGACTTGACTTGATTACACATTGGTTACAATATATATATATATATATATATATATATGTTCTCAGAGTGAATCCTAAGATACAGTGTTTATGCTAATGAACTAAAATGTCAGCCTCAGAAGAGCTGATTTTAGCAGTGACATGTTATGAAATTAGGTCTAATCCGATCCCACATAAAACTTACCGGTGGTTGTGGCTAGTTAAGCTACAATCATCGAGTTCAACCCTTTTCAGGCTATCAACTATCTCTTCAACTCTAATCGACATGAATTCAGCATGTTCTTCAAGATCTTTGAGAATCATCTGTAGTTGTCGTTGAAATGCAGCAGACCGTTCTTTTTCGCGCTGTAGCTCGTTGTATAGATCCTGTATTTTTTTATCCTTCTCTTCCTGAAAAAGCACCAAACCCGGAGTCAGTTGCAAAAGCATCATTGCAAGTGTCTAAGAGTAAAGGAGCATCATGAGCATGATTGTCGACCCAAAAAAATCCTCGTATAAAACAAGAAATATGGATTGATAGAAGGTATTATCATTTTCATTTTAAAACAAGAAATTTTCCAAAAATTTAAGAATCATGTTAGTACAATGGTTGCGGTGAAAGTTGAGCATGTTCACTCGTGAACTGTACATGCATTATGGGTTGACAACTTTATGAACAAACAAACAGCAGTTCATGGCATAATAAAAGTTAGAGAGGAAGGTTAAAATAGTTAACTGAACAGCTACAGATGAGAATAATTCATGGTAACATAGTATCATGGTCAAAAAATTCGTATTTACACTAACTTGAAGACTAGAATAGTTAAATTGGTCTAGTTACCAAACTCAAGCCACTAGTATACAGTTATCCCTCTTTCCTATGCTTCTCTAACTCTTAGAAGCTACTTCACAAGTTAAATAATCTCCCATTTCTAGTATAAACTTCTCATAGAATCTTTTGGTAACATAATAAAGTGTAGGCAAAAGTGTAGGCAAGTTGCCAAACATCGCATACCTTTACGTTCGTTCTTCTTTGGTCTCTAGTATGAACTTCAATGCAGCTTTTTGGACCCAAATGTAATGCATAAACCACAACGAAAAAGATTGAGAATGAGGTTCAATACTGGATTACGAGTAAAGGCTACATTTTCTTGGAAACTTCTATGCAGTTCACATACTCCCCCTTTGCACTAGCTCGATATATATGAACATGAAAAAAAATATTTTCTAAACAAACACCATAGGTATCATGATATTCTCAAACCATTTCGTTATTACCTAGCCAATATGCCCAAAATGGAATGCAACCCTACAATATATCTAATGCCTAGATCCACAAACCAAGCATAGAACCTGCATGTATAACCGTTGGCAAAGATCTCTTCACAAATTTTTTGAGTGCCACACAGAGTTCTTAGCATAAAGTTTCACCAGACTACTTTCAAGCATCTAAGACTTACCTCGGTGAGCATGTTAACAGTTGGCAGCTCTCCGGGAAATTTGCAGTGTGCCATTAACTTGTGGCTGTGTTCACGCACGAATTTGGTAACAACCCATTTACCTCCATCCCTAGCTGCCAACCTTATCATCGCTTTGCACCCTTCTCTTGTAACCGGCCTTGGAGGAAGAACCCTGTCTTTTCTATGTGTATGCTTCGCCGCTCGAAAGCCTTCTCTAGAACACACAAAATCCCGTCCAATTATAGACATGCACTTTAGTGAGTGTCGAATCCGATTCGTTCGTATGGTAAACCCAGTGCTCTTGGCATATTCGAAATAAAAATCCCTTGCATTATCTAGGGACTGAAAAGTCATCCCAGTATATGGCTCCAAATTCCCTAAATCCAAAACTTCACTAGCTTGTTCCAATGAAACGATCTCGCCGTTCATTATATTGTGTTCCTCCAACAGTTCTTGTCTGATCCCTTCATATTCGGCAACGTTAACCGCAGATTCATCCTCGGAGCTTCTATCCGTATCCGAAAATTCATGTGGACCAGCAGTCCCTGCCATTGGTACTGCAAAACATGAAATATACTAATTACTAACACAAAATCTACCTCCTCGACCATAGTTTTCCTCACTTTTTATATATACACAATATAATCTTGTAACCAAAAGAAATATATAATCTAATTCCATTTTATCATGCACTTTGAAAATGAATTTGAGATGAAGCAAAATAAGTAACCAAAAAGAAGGGAAAGTAAAAGCCACCACCAAATTATGATTCCAACATTATTTTCAGTTGAAGAAATTTACAAACCATCAAAACGAAAATCCCAGTACAAGACCACATATTTTCCTCTTCTACACAGCTAAAAGTACAGCAAACCAGGAAAATTATTTCTTAACTTGAAAAAAAAAATCTTCAGTTCTTTGTACACTGCTAATTAAAGATCAGATTTTTTTTCACTTCTTACGAAATTCAGAACAAACCCAGTTCATAGATTGCCAATCTAAAGTTCCCAAACCAAAGAAGTTAAAAGTTGAATGGCATTGAAGAAGGTATAAAGCAGAAATGAAAAGAGAGGATAAAAGAAGCTTACAATTGCAGAGCTTGGTTTTTGTATGTTCCCTTTCTAGTCTTTGAAAAGGTAGACTTTTTGCTGTTTGTCTTCCCACCAAACACGGGGGATTTATACGCAAGGAAATTTTGGCTTTAAAATCCGACACTCATTCCAATATTTTACCACTTTCTATGTCCGTCGCAAGAGAAACTGCGAGGGGGTGGGCAACAATCATTTCTTATGGGTTTAGTTTATAATTTTATCCTTAAAGTATACATTTTTTTCATTTCACACCATTAATTTTCATTTTCCCCATTGCCCTCAAATAGGGGACGGATTAGGGAGCGTTAAGAGACAGTTATCTTTTTAAAAATTTTAAATTATCATACATTTTAGATAGTTTTCTAAATTTTTCATCAATAGTATATTTTATCCCTTAAAATTTTATTAGTTTGTCCCATAATATAAAATTATGTATTTTTCTCTGCCTCAAAAGTAATGTTCCATTATAAATCCGTGTAAATTATCCCATTTGTTCGAAAAAAACTGCTAGAATAATGAGGTGAATTTTTTCCCATGGAGCATAAAAATTATTTTTTGAATTAGGATGTTTGCTACAAATTTTATGAAAGACTATGCGGTGATTTTTAATAAGTTTATAGATTATACAATAACTTCCACTTACTGTTTCCTAAAATTTTAATAATAGTCTAAAGATAAAATTAAATAATAATATTTTTTAATGTTTCTGCGTCATCAATTTAACGGGAATGAGGGTGGAGATGTAGAATGATATTTTATTATACCTCAAAAATATTGATGACCGTAATATAACGTTTCAAACTTATGTAGTAAAAGTATAAATTTACTCAAATATTATTGACCATTGGTATAGTTTACCCCATTTTTTCTACGTCTCCCAATTCTGAATTTGGGAACTCAGAAAAACATTTGACCTTTATTGGTGGCTCGGCGCACCTGCCGCCGTTGAAATTCATGTCTCAAGCTCTTCTTCTCTGAACGTTTTCTCATTGAAACCCCCACAGTATCAGAAGAACAAGGTAAATTCTTATCTCCTTCCACTGCTCTACTATCCTTTAATTCCCATTTTATCTTCATTTTCGCTTGTTTTTTTATTGTTGGGTGTTTGGTATTTGAACGATTAAGTCATAAAGTCGATACATTTTGGTTCTCCTTTATGTACTTCTTTCAGTTATTAGAAGTCCAAAATTCAATATTTTTTCTCCTTTTTTCTTGGGAAATTCTTTCCTCTCATATTTGCAAATGTGTGGAGATCGATGTAATTTGATGTTTGTGCCTTCTGTTATTTAGAGCAAATTAGTGAACTTATTAAGAGGTACTGTATAATTCCATTTTCTAGATGAATCTAGGCTTGTTGGTTATTACTCACTGTCATAGTACTAAATTACGGTTATGGTTGATGTTGCAGCTGCGGTATTGCGGTTGTGGATGTTGCCGATACTATGACGTGATTTATTTTTTAAAAGTAAATTCGTCTTTATGTTGCGGAAATGATTTGTGGCGTCACGGTGACTTTGGAAAATGTTACAATACGGCCGTTACATTACGTTATGGCCGTTACAGGGAACCATGTACAGGCATGGTGTTCGAGTCAGCGGAGGATGCTAGGGAGTTTTATGAAATGTATGGTCGACGTATGGGCTTCACCATTCTGAACAATCACACGCGTCGATCACTCAAGGATAATTCAATTATCGGTTGAGAGTTTGTTTGCTCAAAAGAAGGTTTTCGTGCAGAGAATATGCAAAGAAGGAAACCAGAGTTTCCCAATCACGGCCTGTGACGAGAGAGGGATGTAATGCAATGCTGAGAATAGCAGCAAAAGGTGGGGGGAAATGGGTTGTCTATGGTTTTGTTAAAGAACATAATCATGAACTGAATCCGAGCAAAATACCACCTCGACGGTCACATCGAATTGTCCTCTGTGAGGTATGTTAGTGTAAGTATTTCGGTTTAACCATTTCTAGAGAAGCTAACAGCTTCTGATTTGGCCATTCCCTTTTACAGCTAAGCTTCCTGCAGTTACATCCTCTTCGAGACCGGCCTCTTGTACTCATTAACTGGATTTGTTTATAAATGTAGCTCAATGGTTTGCCCTTATATGAGTTAACTTCTGATTTGTAGGATGAAAAAGATCTTAAAATTCGAGAATTTTCCTCGGGACTGCATTGCGAGAAAAAGAAATGTGCTGCATACCAAGAACAGCTTAAGATAGTTTTAAAGTATATCGAAGAACACACTCGGCGGCTATCCTTAAAACTTAACTTGGTGTCCAACAATCTGAGGGAGCTTAAATCTGAAGACTAAGGCAGCTTATTTTCTAAGATAAGCCTCCTGAAATCTCTTCTATGCATAAGCAGATCGGTTAACTTGCGAGTTACTTTACTCGAATTGCTAGTTACTTTACTCGAATTGCTAGTTACTTCGATTTCAAGAAATACCCATTTTGACATTCTTGTCAAACTTATATCCGGACATGAGTATGGGGATATGATACTTGAAGACCCTCCAAAGACGTGAAAGTTTTGGAAAAAAAAATATCGAACATAATGCATCGTACGTCCAAGTCCGAGTAGAATAGCTGTCTATAATGTTTGTTTATATGCAACTGCTGCAATAGCTTATGTTTATGAACTCATCTTCTTCTGTAATCTCTTAATCAGAGAGAATGTTGTTTAAATACTTATCAATGGCAGATTAAAGTAATGATGTTGAAAGTTTTCTTTCCATTTCAGTTGATTCTCGAACCGTGGTAGTTGTTATCAAAGAGGTCAGTTAATTGTATCTCTGAATGAGGAGATGATTACGGTTCGCATCTTGATTACTCGTTAGAGAACTTGATTTTGATCTTAGTTCGAGGAATAATCTGTTGTCGATGATTGCTAATATATTGTGTCCTCCCAGTTTCTCGATGACTGATTTCATTTCAGCCATAATTTGTTCACAATGTATGCCTTGTAGTTATATGAATAGTCTTTGTTATGAGAGGTTTTTTTAATGAGGTTCATATGTTTCTTTCTAAAAAAAAGGGTAAACTACTCAGTTGACCACTTAACTATGTAATCACTGATCTTTCAATTTTGTCAATCACACCACTTAACTATTTAATTTGTTCAACCATACCACTAGCCGTTAGTATTTGGCGGAAATGCTAACATGACAGTTAAAAGAATTAGTATATTTTTTAAATACTTTACAAAAAAAATAAAAATAAATTTTTTAACTGCCATGTCAGCATTTACGTCAAATATTAACAGCTAGTGGTATGATTGAATAAATTAAATAGTTAAGTGGTGTGTTTGACAAAATTAAAAGATCAATGGCACAAATAAAAGGACTTTATAGTTAAGTGGTCAGCCGGGTCGAGTAGTTTACCCAAAAAAAAAACACACAAACTAGAAATAGTCGGAATTACAGAGTCATTTAACTCTCATGTCCTCTTTTTCTTCTTCTTTAATGCATTACATTTGATAATGCTGCTCCCTTCTTTCTTTGCCATGTTTTTTAAACCTTTCTGATTGCTGGTCTATTCTATAAATATATTGTTTTTATTTTTAAACTTATTAAAATAATAGTGCACACTATAAATGTTTACCTAATTGTTGGCTTAGGTTACCTTTGGATGAGAGTAAGATTGGTTCCGTTTTAGGGAGTATGCATATATAAGTGAAGGAAGTGGAGATTGTAAAAGTATACTGTTTAACAACCCTCGAGTTATATTTCTCAATGGCAACTAGCAAGAAGAGCAATGGCGTCCACGTCTTGACGATCCCATTCCCAGCCGGCGGCCATATTCTTCCCCACATGGACCTAATCCACCAGCTCCTCTGTCGTGGCTTGACCGTCACGATAGTCGTCACCCCCAAAACCCTTCACTATCTAAATCCTCTTCTATCTCTTCATTCTTCCACCAATGTTCATCCACTTGTTCTTCCATTCCCTACTTGTTCTTCATCCTCTCCCATCCCTCCCGGAGTCGAGATCATGCAAGATGTTTCCTTAGCACCACATTTCATCGAATCGTTGAGCAAACTTTTCGATCCTTTGGTTCAATGGTTTCAAACCCACCGGTCCCCTCCGGTCGCCGTTCTCTCTGATATGCTCCTTAGTTCCTGGGTCAACTCACTTGCTTCGTCTCTTAACATCCAAAATCTGAGTTTCAGTGTTCTTAATCCAAGTACATTGTTTCCCTGGATGTCAAGGTACCTAAATTATGGTTCTGAAGATGATCCTGACACAAGGATACATATGGGAATTGCAGCAAGCTGGGGTCTTATCTTCAACTCGTTTACTGAGTTAGATGGTGACAAAATGCATATGATTAAAGATGAGTTCATCCACCATGATCGAGTATGGGCTATAGGGCCTTTGCTCCCTATAAAACCTAATGGCACCGAGAGGGGTGGACCGGGTTCCCTTCCCCGACATCAAATAACAGCATGGCTTGATTCTTTTCGTGTCGATAAATCAGTGGTGTACGTCGGATTTGGAACCCAGATTTCGTTGTCCAAACGACAAATGGACGCATTGGCTTCGGCATTGGAAGAGAGCGGTGTTCCGTTCATTTGGGCCGTCAACATCATCGAAGAAGATGGCGGAGATCAGAACATTGTTCCGCAAGGTTTTGAAGAGAGAGTACGAGGGAAGGGACTAGTGATCAAAGGGTGGACGCCACAATTGACGATTCTAGAGCATCGAGCTGTCGGTTCATACTTGACTCATTGTGGGTGGAACTCGGCATTAGAGGGAGTTATGGGTGATGTTTTGTTGCTGGTGTGGCCCATGCAAGTCGATCACTTCGACAACGTCAAACTGTTGGCTGAAGAACTGGGAGTGGCCATACGAGTCTGTGAGGGTTTAAACACTGTCCCTGATGCGACCGAACTGGCTCGGATCTTGGCTCAGTCTGTGTCTGTGGACCAACCAGAGAGGGCTCGAGCCATGAAACTAAAGGAGACTGCATTGGCTGCAATCCGAAAGGGTGGGAGTTCAGATAAAGCTTTGGATTGCTTAGTACAACAACTTTCCGGCTTAAGTGCAGGGTCAATTGTAAACAACTAGAAATATCCACTCATTCTACCTAATTTCAATACTCGATAGTCGATACTCCCCTGTTTCTAAGTGTAAATCGGTTTGTTTGAGCTTGTTAGTTGTTTAATTTGGTTTTAGGTTATGTACTACATTTAGTCCTATTATTGCACCCTACTCGTTTTAACAATCAACAAATGAAATTGAAATTCGGTAAGTCGACCTCTCTAAGTGCAGCACCTACAACTCGTTTTACGACCGACTCAGTTACTTATTTTCTCGTAGTATAGATCTTAACATTTTAAATTATGAGAGAGAATTATTCTAGAAAGATATAATTATTTTTTAATCATTTCTGTAACTATTACATCTATGTTACATATATATAGATTTTGTAGCGATATTGAATGAGTGAATTTATTACGTAATTTCAAAAATATCCACAATAGTATATTTTTATTAATGTTTACAAACCAAAATACATGCAATCATTCTAGTCTAATTTGAGTGAATTTATCGCGTGATTTCAAAATTATCCGTCCAGTTACTTTCTGTATAAACATAAAATTCAAAAAGAAAATTATGGAAAAATATAATGCAAGTATAATATAAATTAATTATTGAAATAATATATTTTTTATTTTTTTATTTAATTAATGATACTCCACACGAATTTTATATCTAATAATTATTTTAAAAATAAACAATTGTATATTGATAAATTAAAAATAAAAACATAAAATCACATTTGCCATTAAAAACTATTAAAACCCAATGGAGCTAATTTTTTAATTTGTATCAAGGGATGGTGGCAAAACCGACAAAAGTATTTATTCCCACAAGTAATATATAGTGTTTAAGAAGAATAAAGACTGAAAAGATGCTGTTTGTTTTCTAACATAATAATTGATTTTCTTTATTAATGGCGTATCATAATTGGTTTACCTTTAGTGGAGAAGATGCCCAAGTTGGGCCGAGGTATCGTTGGGCCGAGGTATCGTTGGGCCGAGGTATAATTTCAATAGATTTTATTATATTTATCATTTTAGTCAAACCCCAACTTATGATAATTTTATCCTCTTATTTTCTCTTTAATTAAATATAAAATAAGGATTTAAAATTATAATATTTTTCTATTTAGGTTTTTGAAAATAATTTTGGTCAGAGTAACTGTTCAATGTCCTATTTCGTAATCATTTTTAAATCATTCATAAAAAATACCTAATAAATACATTACAAGTGACTAGTGACGAAACTTGATGATAGAGTTTGAGGGACAATTTAAACTTTAAAAAAATTCAAAGGTTTATATTAATTTTTTTTTAAAAATTGAAGGGTTTAGTTTATAAGTGTACCAGTCTGTCTCGTACCCCCTCAATTTGTAGTGTCGACAATACTGCGTGCTGTTGCGTCGAGGGATCGATCGCATGGATGGTGGGGGCTTCAAAACGTTCGAGTCTCCTATCTGGCAGAGAATTTTCAATAAACAAGTGTTGTGGGGCGGGCGCGTAGTTTAGTATCACCTAAATGGTCATCTCCCTCGTCGGTTGACAATGTCGACGGGTAGTCATTCTACTCATATTTTCCCCTGTGCTGCCCAAGGTTCACCCTTAAAGAGTCATAGAAACTTAGAAAGTGTAGGGTGGGCGAGGGTGTTGCTCCCTGATTCAGTGACTCTACGGGATGTCCATTGAGGGAGAGCTCTATCTCATCTCTCGACTTCAGCGTATATACTAGCCACCTCGTATAGACTTGGCTGATTCTAGTTGGCATTTAAGGCATGCCTCAGGCGATCACTTCGAAGGCTGCTAACACATCCGTTAGGCTACACAGAGTGGTGGGAAAAACATTGCATTTCAGCTCGTCGGATGCCCCTATAAGGTCCATATAATTTTTGTATTGTAATAAGTGATTCGTGAGGTCTCTTGTTCATTGTAGACCTCCTTAGGCAATTTGAATTGCAGGGGTAAGAAGTGTTTAGTATGTGAGGTATATGCTCTTCCATAAACCATTGTGATTATTTTGTTTGGTTTGCTCGTTAAGGTGGTTGTTGTGGTTGACAATGTAATTCTGAATTTAGTTGTTCTAATTTTGGGAATCTATCTTTAACTGATATTGAAGATTAAAAGTAGTCTACGTTCATTGCACCAAATGTTAATGAAAACAAGTTAATTTCGTCGATTGTTAACGATTAATCTCTTTTGATTTAGATGAAGAATCACAACCGATGAAAAGATGATCGTTAGCTAGTGGTTTTCTCTAAAAGTGGTGTAGAGAAGAAGATAATCTTTTCTAGATGAAAACTTGGAGAGAAGAATGTGAAAGATCAGAAAGTCTTATTTTCCGGTCTCTCTCAAGATATATATACATATATATACTTTGATCGTAAAACGATTGATGTTAAACTTAGGATCATCATACTTATTAGAATGCTGACATATTATGTAAATACGACTATTAACTACTAGATTTGACTGTCAGAGTCATGTCAAGAAATAAAACATCTGACAAAGATGACATTTTTGGTAAACTTCTGAATAATTCATTTAATGTGTATGGTCATCTTTATAAGAAGGCCTTTGGTGCTCTTAGAGAGTTTTCTCAAATATATATATATAATATTAAAAATTTAGACTATACAAACATTATTATTCTTTTTCATAGGGAAGAAAAAAAAAGAAAGTTGAATTAAATAACTCTTTCTTAATGTCTTTTTTTTTAAAGGGATGTACTTTGCATGTTATTAAGAGGTGGAAACATACAAAAATACGACACTCACGTAGATCTCGTTAAAAAATATTCTTAACTTAAATGGAAGAAAAAGAGTACACTACGACGTCCGAAGTACAAATCAAACCAAGCATGACGATGACAGTAACTCACCCGAAAAAGATAGCATTTATGCCACACACTTAGGCACCCACAGCCACAACCAATTAGTGGGAAGGCAATGAAACCAACACTAAACCTGCTTTGATTTTAAGATACTCGACTTCAAGAGACCAAGCAATCTTTAATTCTAAACTTACTTCTTGAAACTTTAATGGAAATGAGCAAAACTATGAACTAGAAGAGTGGAGACATAGACAATTCCACCAGAATTACGTCTCGCTTATGCTTTCAGACCAAATCAAAAGTAGCTTCTACATCACAGACAATTTTGTAAGACCACAGGAACCGATTATCGCACCATTTTGTACCATTCTCTTTCTTGACCATGGATCTATGCTTATGAAGCGATTGACCATTTTTCTTTAACGAAAAATTGATCAAGTTTAAACACAGACTTGACTACATTGATTTGGGATTTATCGTAGAGCAGCCATTACTGCCCACACCCTTGAGCACCCTCAATCACACCAGATTAGAAAGGGAGCCATGAGCCCCAGAAAACAAGCACCCTTCAAGCGCAAATGTCTATATTCCCACTGATGTTTTACATCTTGTAGCCGAGAGATCGAATCAACATCTGATCAAACCAACAAACTCGCAAACTCTCCAACTGTCCAGAAGAACAAGGCACAACCAAAGTGAATGACCCAACAAACAAAACACCAACATTTCAAGTAAGGACTTCCACGTTCAATTCTTCTTACACAAGAAACCAAGGTCTTTGGAGCTTTCATATAGTCTACAAATTTCGGGATTTATCAACAACTGACAGAAACATAAACTTTGCAGCACATGTGGGTACCCGACCAAACAGAGCCACCACATCCAAAGTAGCAGGACAGTTTTAACAAGTTACATTAACAAGGTTAGGGAATCGAACACAATCCAAAATGGAAGGACAACAGAATGACCTTTTGCTTCTGCACCAAAAACCCAACCTCAACATAGCCAAATCATATAGATGCCCAACGCTGAAACTTTCTTTTATTGTAAAGGATTTCATTTCGGCACAACCAAATAGTCCTTATAACAGCAAAGAAGGCCATTCTCCATACTGGTTTTGAGGAAACTTTTATTGGTTGGTTTTCCCACAAGAAGATGAATTCTCGAACATTACCAGGGATCATGAGGTTAATTCTCCACTGCCAACAAAATCTTTGCCAAATCCCCCACACAATTGGGCAATGGCAGAAAAGATGAATAACTGATTCATTAAACTCTCGACACCACACGCAAATAGGGGGAACCACAATCGTAACGCCCCTAGCAACTAACTCAACAAGTATCGGGATTCTTTGATGAGCCACCTTCCACACGAATGCTTCAACTTTAGGCGAAACTAATTTGGCCCATACTAACTTCCAACACCTATCCTCCTCGGATCCGATGCTAGATAAACTCTCTAGAAATATTTGGGAGAGTAGACTCCAGAAGGGGACCCCACCCAAACTAATCTATCAGTGCCCAAACCACATTTCTTTGCTCTATTTAATACATGAATGGACTTATCCCAAATTCTGTGCTCCCAAACGAATAGAGTTCTTCTGATTTCGATTGACCATATCCATTCTTCATTTCGAACACGGCCAAACTCCGTGACTTTACCACTTTTGTTAATTGTCATCCAAAAGGTTCTCGGGAACGATGACTTTAGCGAAGGAACCTCAGTCCAACAGTCGTTCTAAAAGTCGATGAGGTTTTCGTCCCCCAGCACCCATCTTAAATTACCTATAAAATGGTCATCATCCTTGTTCAACGGGGATGAAATATTCCTCCAAACCCACAAGGACTTTCTCGAATTAACGACGCAACCCGTATTTAGCTACTAAAACCTTACATCAGCAAGACCCAATCTACCATGATCCTTCGGCTTGCACACATTACCCCATTTGATCCAATGTATCGATTTACCTTCTCGTAAGGCCCACAAAAAAATTGAACGTTAAACTATTTAGCTTTACCGTCACAGCTACAGTTATTTGGAGTATTGAGAGGTAGTAAACCGAAAGGTTGTTCAGGACCGACTTAATCAAGGTGATCCGGTCTCCGAAAGAAAATAATTTACCTTTCCAATCATCTAGTCCAGTTTGGTATTTTTCAATGTCAGGTTGCCACATCTCAGTAGAGTTCCTCACCTGACCCAGCAGCAGCTCGAGATACTTTGTTGGGAACCTATCCCACGTAGAATTGATTAGAGACAAAAAATGACAATAAAAAAATAAATAAAGAAATTGTAGCAGTAATCAATTTATTAGTTGAGTTCTCAATTCTATCTGTGATAAATCATTGCAAAATCAATTTCCTTTATTTTTAAATTAAGATTTTTAAGTTTTACTTCTTGCTTATATTATTATAAAGAATATGTTGTGTAATCTTTTTAAAAATTTATTCCCGTTCAAATTGTTGTCCTATGTAAATTCTGTGGGTATGTTTTGTTTTGTAATCCAACTCTGCGCCGTGATATTTGATCTAAAATTTATACTTACTATTAGCAAATACTCTTAAAAATAGAATTTGGTCGTATAATTAATATTTTTAATTCATTCAGATTAGTAATATGGATTATACAAACAAATATACAAATTATTTGGAGAACAAATAAGATATTTGATTCCAATAAAAAATAAGTGAAAACCTAAATAACAACCACTTAATTTAAGGTTAAAGAACAATAAGAAATAAATAAAATAAAAAATATGATAAAAGCCTTAATCAAAATTATTATTCAATCGATTTTTACCCTTTTTAAACTGTAAATTAGATGGTTGTACAACAAATAAAATACAGAACAACCCTAAAAAATGGTCAAAAAATGATATCTGTTTTTATCAGTAAATAATAATCCGAAATCAAAACAGAAACAGCGGGCGCACTCTACCGAAATATCCCAAAAAGAACACAGTTCCTAAAGTTTTAAAAATGAAGAATATATTAATAATTATAATTATAGTAAAAATCAAATTCCTGTTTTTTCTATTCCTATATAATAGACATCGGTCTTTCCTTCATCTGTTCAGTCTTCTGTGATACTGTATTCTCAAGTTCTAGTTTCTTTCCTTAGGAAATAAAACGGTCGCCTTTGTTTGTTTTTTCTTTGTTTTCGACGTCATGGCACCAAACGGGGTCGTTTCCGACAACACTTCCATCGTGAGCTTCGGCGAGATGCTGATCGACTTCGTCCCCACCGTCTCTGGCGTTTCTTTAGCTGAGGCTCCAGGTTTCCTCAAAGCCCCCGGTGGCGCCCCAGCCAACGTCGCGATCGCCGTCTCAAGACTAGGCGGCAAAGCGTCCTTCGTCGGGAAACTTGGCGACGATGAGTTTGGTCACATGCTTGCCGATATTCTCAAGCAAAACGGAGTCTCCGGTGACGGGATCTTGTTCGACGAAGGCGCTAGAACCGCTCTGGCGTTCGTAACTCTACGCGCCGATGGAGAGCGTGAGTTCATGTTCTACAGAAATCCTAGCGCCGACATGCTGTTGAAACCGGAGGAATTGAATCTTGATCTCATCAGATCCGTAAGTGACATTATCATCATTTTTTCCCTGAACTCTGCAAATATCTTAATCTCCATTCTTTAACTACAATCTTGACTTAAAGAACCAAAAATAGAACACTGATTCACACGCGCCATAATCGAGAGTAGAGTTTCAAATAAACTGACGTGTTAGCCATATAGCCTATATTATTATGGTTCCATAAGTCTTTACGGGACCCACCCTGAGTATCTAGGTTCAAAACTACGGGATTTGATATTAGTACCTGTCGGTGAGGTTACCGCCGACTTAACAGTATGGTTTCCCTTTATTATTATTTATTTATTGGAATGTAATCTGATTCTGAAAATATGATTTACTTTCCCGTCTAATGTGACCTAACTTTGTAATAGGGATGGATGTAAAATTTTGCCGTGTCCTGTGGGTTTTCTATAAATGAAATTAATTGCAAATTTAACTTTTTAGGCCACTGTTAATCCATATTGTTCGGTCACGTGGGTTTATATGATTGTCTCCACGATGGGTCCAGTCAGCAACGTCCGTTTAATCCCCACTTTATCACGTGAGTTCACGTGTTTGGTTTGGCCGTATTATTATTATTAAATAAGTACTCCTATTAGAATATTTTTTAATTATTGATAATTTCAAGCTTGAATCATTTAATGGTGGTCGCACCAATCTTTTAATTTTATATTTTTTTAATAATAATTAGTATTCATCGTTGATGATGACATTATGGAAGTGAAGGAATGCATAAATCAATTTCCATACATTTGAGTATATGTTTGGTGAGAAGTTGTATTAGCCCGCGTGATTTTTCGTTATTTGTTAGCTTATGGATTAAATGATTAACCTACCTACATAACAACACTGCATGAATCATCGTTTTAATTGCAAATTTTCTCAAAGTTAATTATTTTGAAGGACTCGGGTGTATTGTTTTGGGTGTGCAGGCCGAAGTGTTCCATTACGGATCAATAAGTTTGATCGTGGAGCCATGCAGATCGGCTCACTTGAAGGCAATGGAAGTGGCGAAAGAATCGGGAGCGTTGCTCTCATATGATCCAAACCTTCGGCTGCCGCTCTGGCCTTCAGCCGATGAGGCAAGGAAACATATATTGTCCATCTGGGATAAGGCTGATATAATCAAGGTCAGCGATGTCGAGCTAGAGTTCTTGACCGGTAGCGACAAAATCGACGACGAAACCGCTATGAAGCTTTGGCGCCCCAACTTGACACTGCTCCTGGTCACCCTGGGTGAAAAGGGTAGCAGATATTATACCAAGGTGTGTTAATTTCATCCCTTAGCTGTAGGGGTTGGTGATGCCTGTATTTGTATTAAAAAGTGGTTTTTATGGTCAGAATTTCCATGGGGCAGTGGATGCTTTCCATGTGAATACGGTGGATACGACTGGGGCTGGGGACTCCTTCGTTGGTGCTTTGCTGTGCAAGATTGTACAAGACCCAACCATACTTGAGGTGACCCGTTTTTTACATGTTTACTTCCTTGAGATGCTAAACAAGTATTTTACCCTTTTTTATATATTATTTTTTATTCTAAATGTTTTGTTTTTTTTAAAAATGCAGAATGAATCAAAATTGAGGGAGGTACTAAAATTCGCGAATGCATGCGGGGCAATAACGACAACGAAAAAGGGTGCGATCCCCGCCCTTCCATCTGAAGCCGAAGTGCTTGCCTTGATCAACGGTGCTTAGGATTATCATTTGCTGCACATCTTCTTTTTCAGGATTTTCCAAGTTCTTTCTCTTTTCTTTTCTTTTTATGTGCCTGTCATTTTCAAGGGAAGTGGGAATAGGAGTAAAACAACTTTTTTGCTTTTTAGAAATAAAAAGGTTATTATAACATATTTCAAACTATTACACAGTTATAAGCCGGGCAAAACTTTCGAGATAATATTATGGAAAAAATTAATTCACAAAATAAAGCATTCCCAAAATTAATTGCTCAAATAGGGTGAAATCTACAGTGTTGGCCGTAGGTCGTCATGCCTTCCGGGCGACCTACTAGGTCGTCATGTATTCTCGGTGAGCTACAAGAGATTGCATGTGTCATGCACGTTCCAACACGCTGGGCATCTGAGGTCATCCGACCGAGGCCATCCGAACGAGTTATGCGAGGGCATCCGAGGGCAACCGAGCGAGCTATGCGAGGAAATCCGAGGGAAGCCGTGTGAGGGTAAGTAGCCCGGAGTGCATGACGACCTACAAGGTCGCCCGGAGGGCATGGCGACCTACAAAGTCGCCCGGAGGGCATGGCGACCTATGTGTTGGGACGTGCATGTGCCATGCAACACGTTCATTCTCTCTGTTTGAGCAAGGGTAGGTAGCCCGGAGTGCATGGCGACCTACGGTCAACACTGTGGATTTCACCCTATTTGAGCAATTAATCTTGGGAGTGTATTAGCTCGTGAATTAATTTCTTTCAGAACATTATCTCGAAAGTTTTGCCTACAAGCCCACTGAAATTTTAATTACATAATATACATATTTATTATTATTATTATTAAATAATTAAAGTTTTAAAAAAACCTTTAAATCAAAATATTGAAAGATAAAGATCCATTAACTAATCAAGGATGATTATGTTATCTCATTTTGATTAAATTTGAATTCTGATATTTATCTTAGAAATATTATCTAGAATGTTATTGTCTTATTTGAAATAATAGTATTTGGTTCGTGGAATATTAAATCGTCTAATAGTTAATTTTATAAGATTATCTTATTTTTTTAATAATTTAAAATCTAACATAAAATATTTATATGAAAAATTCATATAAATATTTTTGCTACCGTTTTTTTTCAGAGCTGAAACTCATTTTAAATCCAAACTATTAACGAGTTAGTTTTACTCATTTTGCTGGACAAATTTGAATCAAATTAGATCCGATTTAAAAATCAAATTTATTGGTACTTTTAAAATTAGAATTTTTAGGTTAAGTGTCATTTGATCAAACGATTTACGTGTATATTTGTCCGAGCTTTAGGGCTAATAGTGAAGCTCTGAATATTTTTCTCCATTGCACAAGATCTTAGGCTATAACCCTAATTAAGGAAGATGTAAAATGAAAGTACTCATTAATTCCATGAACCACGTACCTTCAAACATTACCTAGTCCTACCCGGTCTATCAATATTCAATCCCAATAAGAAATACTGAATGGGGACCTGCCGGAACTAGGGTTTAATAGGGGCTATGCGGAATGTAACGGGGACCTGCCGGAACTAGGGTTTGATTGGCATTAGTGTGAACCGTTTTCTATAATGCAATTGCTTGTGGGTAGCATTCGGTGCCCTCCATTTCCAAGGAGCTCCAAGTATGTTTGCATCTTGCCCTTTTCAACTGCAACCGAGCCAAAAATGACTCCGCCCATGGCTCATTGCTCCCTCTCATGCTCAGTTCATAGGGCACTGAAAAACTGAAACAGATTTCCACAGAAACACATGGATATCATGATGTAGTCTTGAATATAAAATACATCAGGAAACAAAAGGAAATACAAGCCGGTGTCATTGAAGGGGCAACTGAGGATGTAGCTTCAGAAGAATTTCCGGTCAATAAAAGTTTATAATTGAGTAATTTTGATGTATGATATCCAAGCATTTAACTATAACCGTTCAAACTTTCTGAACTGGAGGTCACTATGTTAACTATAGCAAGCTTGTAACTCTCCAAACCTTACACCACCTCGAGGTGGCACAGGAAAAAGTAGCGGTCCCTCTCCTCTCACTCTCTTGAAACTCTAAACAAGTTACTACGAGGAACTTACCTCATCAGTTCCTCCAGGTGTGGTTCTTTATTGGACGTACTTTACCTGAAATAAATCAAAATTTTGACATGAATAAACTATGAACTTTATGTTGATTATAAAATAGAATTATACACATATATATATAGGCCGGGGGGGGGGGGGGCAGTGTGACCCTAACCTACATATCATGCATTTTAACAGATACATTCAGATATTGAGGATCATGTTTCCTCGAATCTGATTCCTCGATATCCTATTAGTTACTACACTTTTTTCTCTTGAATTGTCACTGAAATTTGTATTTGATTTCATGCATTTCTTTGTATGCTTTGGGATTCGAACTTTCGGGACTGGATCAACCTTCTTACTTCACACTGTGAAAAGGCAATTTCCAGAAGACATAGCTAGGAGACTTTACTGATAAACAACCAAATTCCAGCATGTACTCAGCCGTAATTGGTCATTGTTCGAGGGATTGGTGAACCTTCATTTTTATATTGAAGTTAAACAATCCAAAGACAAGAAATGAAAAAACATAACTTGATACCAAAATTTTGTAGATACGAAGAAATTTGGTGGAAAGGTTACATATAGCATCTCCAATATGGTCCTTGCTAAACAAGTACACTACTGGATAACCTAGAAGCCATCTGCACCAGAATAGAATCCCAAGTAGTATGATGAGAATAAACATATATGGTACCATAAATATAGAAACCACCTGAAGCAAATCGACACGGTTTTCATAAAATTATAAAGTCTGCTGGTTAATAATATGTCTTTTTTTAGTAGAAATATATTGGCAAGTTGCTTATGTAAGAACTTAGAATCAGAGAAAATTGCCTGAGCCAGATAGTGCCACCAACTCCTAACTGTAGACAATCCAATTTGGACCACATTTAGATGGCTATAATAAAGAATCGTGTACTTGAAGAAATTACAGATAGAGTTATCGGTTTCCTATATGTTACCTTAACTCATCATTTTTCTTGAAATGCCTGTACTCAACATCTGCATCTGGCATATATACATATATGTGTATAGGAATATGATCCTACAAGGATACTTGAAAAATATGGAAAAACTAGGGGAAAAAACGAGCATACCCGTATCGGACACATTTATATCCTACAACTCACTCCTGGGTCAAGTAACATAGATTTTTCTCTAAGGATGCATGTGTTTTAACACAGTATGTGTTGGCATATAAGATATGATATATCATAGGTATAATTGATACATGTAAATAATGTGTTATGATTACCCATTTATAGTAGGCACGGTGACTTCAGTGTCATGCATGCAGCTACTAAGATCCTTAAGTAAAGAAGACTGAGAATCGATTGGCTCACTTAAGGATTTGGAATCCGCTTGGAGTTCTGTCCTGTCAGGTGGCAAGAGATCATTTCTCGCTCCTTCAAGAGGAAAATACAAGGAGAATAATTTCTGAATTGACATAAGCTGCATCCCTAGTAAATTTTTGTCGTCTAGAGTTATCATCTGAAACAAAAATGTGAAGTTCTCCATTCAGAAGGTAAAGATGAATATTTTAGACAAGACGTTACAAATTTACCGAAAGTAAATGCACACGGGACGGTTCTACCTTGGGAGGATCCTGGTCTAGATCCACAAATAGAAGTTCCACTTCTGAACTCAAGCTTGAACTCACATACTTGGCCATTTCTTTTACGTGTATCAGATATATCATATATTCTATAACCATTACTCTTAGCTGTTCAAATATAAGTGCTGCCAGAACAAAATCATAGTCAGAGATAGTATTAAACCCATAAGCGATAACCTTTCAACAAGCATAGTTAAAGTTACAAACAAAACTATCGGTCGATGCAACAACTGTGTAGGCCTGCAGGGCATCTAACATGAAACTTCTGATTGTTTTGGCAATACATGGGAAAACATAGCCAAACACCACAATTCCTTCTGATTGTTGCTTTTGCATCAATGCAACAACATAAATCAAAACCATGGTTTATCAAAATCGAACAAAGTGTTTTAACACACATTGAATCTAATCGATTCATGTAAAAGTAAAATCAAGCATTGCTCTCCATATACCAATATCTGATACTTAACTCCACTCTTAGGAAAATAAAATGTCTAAACTTGATTTTGCAAAAATAAAAATCATCCATGCTTTTCAGCAACTCTAAAATTTGAACTTTAGCTTATTTCAATCTTCGCTCATTGAGAAAACAAAATACTCAAAAAGAAAACAGAGCTAAAAATAAAAGTAAAAATAATTAAAAAAATTCCCAGAAATAGAAAAATTGGTAGAAGGCCAGCAATTAAAGAAAAGGAAGAAAGGACCTATTTGGAGTCGGCGCTTAGAATGAGATTTAAGACGCCATTTGATGTGAGAAAGAGAGGCGTCCAACACCTTCAAAAAAAAAAATTAAATTAGAGGATTCATATATTGACCCAAACTTATATCATTTTAGACAGTGAGACTGAGAACAGATTCAAACGGTGCCGTTTGGAACAATAGATCCACAAACCGACCCTGACTTGATTCACCCAGCATATGATGTGTGTTTTTTGCTAAAATTATTTATTTAGTTCTTATTAATCATATCAATATTCAATTTAATCCTTAAATTCATAATTTAGATTTTAGATGCTATTTTGGCCATTAACATTCTTTCAATTTGATCAATTCAGTCCCTTAAATTATTATGACAAAAGGGTAACTTTTGCCTCATGTAGTAAACTTAATTTATCACTTTTGTCCATATCGTATTTTTGCACCAATTTAACCATCGAAGTTGCTCAATTGCATCATTATATACTCTACCCATAACTTAAAACCTTAAATTATAAACTATAAACCCTAACCATAACCTCATAACCTCTAAACCATGAACTTTAACTTGGGGTTTATAACTTAGGATTTTAAGTTAGAAATAAGATATAAAATGATGCAATCAAATAATTTTGAGGGCTTTAGAACTTCTCAAATGCATATGGAGTGGGAGCTGGATTGTCCAATGCATGCATGCATCATGCATAGAAGTAATATTCCATAAAAGATCGACAAAGATAGTTGTTACCCCTGTAAACTCTCAGACCCCGCGAACCTCCATACGTGCGCACCTCTAGATACGCGAATACAAGATCTGTGCAAACTCTCAAACACAAATCGTCAGTGACTATCACGTGTCGAATCCAGGTGAGCAAACCCCTAGCATAATCATTATAAATCATGTGTTGATACACATAGTCTTCTAGTTTAAGCCATTACTCTCTAAGATGTTCAATCAATATCAATGACATGACAACTTTTGATTAACATTAAAGATATTATGAATAATCGTACGATTGAGGGTAGACAAAGAGAATAAGGGATTATTGTTTAGGATGTTCAATCAATATCAATGACAAGACTACTCATGATTAATACAACGATCCAAGACATTATAAATAGTCATGCGACATAGAGTAGATAAAGAGACTTGGGACCACTAAAATCAGACCAACATTATTGGAATCACCTTTCTACTGTTATTTGTGATTGTTGATCATTTTATCAGTTGACAATAATGTAGCAGGGAATTCTATGACAACATGAAATGGCAAGAGATCAATCTGGTGTTTACCTCTAGGGGGTTTGAAATGTTTAAGCAATGTTTCATTGGCAAGAACCATCATGTGTTGTTTTTGTACTCTTAACATTAGCTTAGAAATTTGTTACACGCTAGGATGGGGAATGCTCCTTATACCACCAAGGCACAGTAATTAGATATTCAATGAGGTCCTCATGTTTATTTAAGTGTGTATTCTAATAAATTTTTATTTAGTAATAATATTTGTTAGAGTTTGACTTGAATCCGATTCAAGTCAAATCAACGAAGATACAAAATTAAGAAAAAATGAAAAAAAAAACATAGTTTGATTAGAAGTAGTAAGTCTATTTTATTTTTTATTGATTAATAATAATAAAAGTTGTTTACGATGATTTCTCTTGTATTTTCTTATGTTTGTTTAGTGTAAGTTCTTTTTTTTTTGTCTGTAATTTTTTTCGAAAGAGTTCCTGTACATAAATTATTGATAAATATTTTGTTGTGATTATTATATTTACTGTTATCTTCTAACATTATTTACAAGATTAAGATTTCAATTTGATGGTTCTTATCTACCCAATATATTGTTTATTAATATTTTCTACCGAAATATAATTATAATTTTGTCAAATTCAGCAAATGGTTTTTAAGGAGTGGTAGTTGGAAGGCAAAGAAGGCATAGCCAAACAAGTGAGCTTTAATGACATTATATATATATATGAGAAAATAATCCAGTGACCAAAAATCCTAGATAATATACGATTTTGACCAATTTTTTTTGGATTTACGAAAATGACCAACAAAATCGCAATGCGATCTCTAATTCGCATTGCGATCTCCACTATCGCAAATTCGCGTTGCATTTCGCGTTGCGATAGTTGAAAATCGCGTTGCGATTTTCCATTTCGCATTGCGATAGTTGAAAATCGCGTTGCGATTTTCCATTTCGCGTTGCGATAGTTGAAAATCGCGTTGCACTTTTCCATTTCGCGTTGCGATAGTTGAAAATCGTGTTGCGATTTTCCATTTTGCGTTGCGATAGTTGAAAATCGCGTTGCGATAGTTGAAAATCGCGTTGCGATTTTCCATTTCGCGTTGCGATAGTCTACAGTTGTCGTTGCGATTTTCTAAATTCGTTGCGATAGTCTACAATTGGCGTTGCAATTTTTCAAATTCGTTGTGATAGTAAAAAAAAAGATTTTGTTTCTTAAGAATTTTCTCTAAAAAGATAGTATTCGCGCGGACGTGTCGAAGACACGACCGACCACGACCACGACCACGACCACGACCATGACCCGAGACGAGACGAGACGAGACGAGACGAGACGAGACGGCGGCGGCGGCGGCGGCGCGCGAGAGTCCCCCTTGTTCTCTATCACTCAACAAGGAAGTGGGAAAGCCAACCCTTAAACACCATTCCCAATAGTGTTTCCAATACTATGTGGGATTAAGCATTACCAACACTTGTTTCCAATACAATGTGATTATTCAGGAAACAATTAACAATCATGCACCTTAAAACAACTGAATCAGCAACTAATTGCATTAGTATTATACAATTAAATATGTCATAATTAAAAGTCAATCTACAATTAATCGTGATTATTGCAATTTTAAGCAAAACATTCAAAAATAATATCACTATTTAAGGCTCAATCCCACATAGTATTGAGAAAAAGTGTTGGTAATGCTCAAATCCCACATAGTATTGGAAACACTATTGGAATGGTATTTAAGGCTTGACTTTCCCACTTTCTTGTTGAGTGATAGAGAACAAGGAGGACTCTCGCGCGCCGCCGTCGTGGTCGTGGTAATACGTGTCTTCGACACGTCCGCGCGGATACTATCTTTTTAGAGAAAATTCTTAAGAAACAAAATCTTTTTTTTAACTATCACAATGAATTTTCGCAACGAATTTGGAAAATCGCAACAACAACTGTAGACTATCGTAACGGATTTGGAAAATCGCAACGACAATTGTAGACTATCACAACGCGAAATGAAAAATCGCAACGCGATTTTCAACTATCGCAACGCGAAATGGAAAATCGCAACGCGAATTTGCGATAGTGGAGATCGCAATGCGAATTAGAGATCGCATTGCGATTTTGTTGGTCATTTTCGCAAATTCAAAAAAGTTGGTCAAAATCATATATTATCTGGGATTTTTGGTCACTGAAGTTATTTTCTTGAATGAATTGCTGATAGATCCTTTGTTTGTTAGAATATCTTCTTTTTCCAGTTTCAATCACCACATACAGTGTCGTTTCTAGTTTAATATTCATGTCACTGTATTTTTAAGGGCAGCCTTGAAAACACAAAACTTCAGATTCTTCCATTATATGACATTATTTGACTAGAACACATACAACACTCCCACAAACAAAAAACTACTTGATAGTTTTTTAAAACATAGTAGTTTTTTAAAACATAGAAAAAACTACTTATGGGAACACATACAAGTTTATGTTCCAGAAAACTGCCAGGACTCAGTAACTGAACCTCATATTACAAAGATTGCGATGCTCACTGACATCAGTACTGTGTTCTTCCATCGCCCTCGGTGATCACGTCTTTGAAAGCGCCTCCGCTGGGGATCATAGGCAGGACATGCTCTTGATGTGGGACAATCACATCCAACAGGTAAGGTCCAGGAGTGTCCAACATTTTCTGAATTGCTGCCTTGAGATCTTCTTTCTTCGTCACCCGGGCTGCTGGTATTCCGCATGCTTCGGCAAATTTCAACATGTTCGGGAATATCTCTGACTCGTTGGAGGGATCTCCCAGGTATGTATGAGCCCTGTTTGCCTTGTAAAATCGGTCCTCCCATTGAACTACCATGCCCAAATGCTGATTATTCAACAATAATATCTTGACAGGAAGATTTTCCACTCGGATAGTTGCCAACTCTTGCACGTTCATGATGAAACTTCCATCACCATCGATGTCTACAACAACTGCATCCGGGTTTGCAACAGCAGCTCCGATGGCAGCAGGCAATCCAAAACCCATAGCCCCCAATCCACCTGATGTTAACCATTGACGAGGCTTCCTGTACTTGTAAAACTGAGCAGCCCACATTTGATGCTGACCGACACCTGTACTTACAATCGCATTCCCTCCGGTTAATTCATCAAGAACCTGAATTGCATATTGAGGCGGAATAGCTTCACCAAAGGTCTTGTAACTCAACGGGAATTCCACCTTCTGCTTGTTTAACTCCTGCCTCCAATCTGAATAATCAAGATTCAGATTTGCACCCTTGTTCTCCAGTATCTTATTAATCCCCTGCAATGCCAATTTCACATCGGAACACACCGACACATGAGGCTGCTTATTCTTCCCAATCTCAGCCGAATCAATATCGATATGCACAATCTTGGCCCGACTAGCAAAGGCCTCAAGTTTTCCAGTCACCCTATCATCAAATCTTACACCAAAAGCTAGCAACAAATCACTCTTATCCACAGCATAATTAGCATACACGGTTCCATGCATTCCAAGCATTTGTAATGACAACTCATCCGAAATCGGAAACACCCCAAGACCCATCAAAGTACTTGCAACAGGTATCCCTGTAAGCTCAACAAACCTCTTCAACTCTTCACTGGAGTTCAAACACCCACCACCGACGTATAAAACCGGCCTTTTAGATTCGGAAACCAGCCTCACAATCTGTTCCAAATGAGACTCATTGGGAGCCTTGGGCAACCTAGACATATATCCCGACAACCTAGGAGGCTGGTTCCATTTAGGAACAGCAAGCTGCTGTTGTATATCCTTAGGTACATCAATCAAAACAGGTCCAGGCCTTCCCGAGGTAGCTAAAAAGAAAGCCTCACTAACAATCCTAGGAATATCATCCACATCAAGAACAAGATAATTGTGTTTCGTAATAGACCTCGTTACCTCGACAATCGGAGTTTCCTGGAAAGCATCGGTACCGATCATCCGACGAGGGACTTGGCCGGTGATCGCCACGAGAGGAATGCTATCGAGCATTGCATCGGCGAGACCACTCACCAAGTTGGTTGCCCCAGGGCCGGACGTTGCAATGCAAACACCGGGAACGCCGGAGGAGCGCGCATAGCCCTCGGCGGCGAAGACCCCTCCTTGTTCGTGTCGCGGAAGGACATTTCGGATAATTTTGGACCGGGTTAAAGCCTGGTGGATCTCCATCGAAGCTCCACCCGGGTAGGCGAACACGTCCTTAACGCCTTCGCGTTCAAGTGCTTCCACGAGGATATCAGCGCCTTTCCGGGGCTCACCGTCCGCATAACGGGAAACGAAATCATGGGAAGGAGCGGTTTTTTGGGTAACAGCGGCGGAGGCGGATCTGGGATTGGAACTAGCATGAGAAAGGGAGCAGGAAAAGTCGGTGTAACGGTGATGGGTGGGGTTTTGAGGGGATGTGGAGAAAGGGAGAGTGGATAAGGAAATCGGTATCGGAGATTTGAAGGAGGAAGTTAACGAGGAAAGCTTAGCGAAAGTGGCGGCCGCCATTCTTGATGAGAGGTTTGTGGCGATGCGTTTCTTTGGTGCTTGTGGCGAGCGAGAGAGGAATGCAAAATTGTGATTGAGCTTCCCTTTTAAGTTTGGATTTTATTGTAAGAAGGACAAACAAAAACAAATATAGATAAATTGAGGTTTAGTACCTAAATTATTAATTTTAATTTATTTTAATATTTAATGTTTTATTTTTTTTAAAATTATACCTAAAGTTTAGTTTTTATTTTATTTTAGTACCTTTAAAATTTAACATTATGTTTTGGAATTTTTTTTTGAAAGTTTAGGTACTAAAATGGACTAAAACTGATAATTTAGAAACTGAATGAGTAAAGTTTTTAACGATAGAGTACTAAAATGAAACAAAAATTAAATATTAGGTATAATTTTGAAAAAAAATAAAAATTTAGATACTAAAACAAATCAAAATTGATAGTTTAAGTACTAAATGTATTTTTAATTTATAAGCTCCAAAAAAATATTTGGCTTTTATTTATTTATAAGCTTAATATAAAATAAAAATATAAATTATATCATTTTCTTATTTGTGTGTTTAATTTATTTTTAGTCAATCTAAATGTTTAACATTACAAACGTTATCAATTTAAGTGTTTCGATCATAATAACCCTTAAAATTTTCGTTAAGTAACATATGTCGTATCCTAATAATTTTTGAAAATTTTAATTTTTAAAAATACATTAAAATCAAATTATTATTACTAAAAAATATTTTTTAAAATCTCCCAACTAGAAGATGATCTTGAATAATTTCTTCTCAAATTATTATAAGATTTTCTAACGGTTATTATAGTCGAGACATTTCAAATAATAACATAGACATTTAGATTAACTGAAAAATAATTTAGATATATAAATTAAAATATAATATAGTTTAAACACTTAATTTTTAACCTTAGCCAGATTACCCTTTTACACCCTGCACTTTTCATTGGAGTAGTGTAGTGTTGTTTATGGTTAGAAGATTTGATAATAAATTTTGGATAAATTATTTATTTGGTCATTTATTTATTTTTATATTTTATTTTAATCATTTAATTTTTTTAGAATTATATTTAATATTATATTTTTTCTGTTTTGATTAATCGTAGTTGAATTTGATTAGACTTAAAAAAATAGTGATAGGTTAGAGTCTAGTACGGAGGATATATGTGTAATCAACCTATATTTTTCTAAAATTTTTGTTGCAACTCTTACTTGGGTTCAGCGGGAAGAACAAAGAAAAAAAAACAAACAATTTACTAAACACATACTAATGTCATTATCACTAACATTGTTAATGAAATTTGTGTTCCACACATCAATTTAAAATCGCTTACATTTTAAAATTTATAAAAATTTGAAACAGATGTTAAAATGCTCGCATTTCAAAATGATGCTTACATTTTAAAATTTTAAAATTTCATCCTCGAACAGAAGTAATCTGCCAAAGTTGTACAAAGAGTTTATCGAGACACATAATAAAAAAAACGCAAGGCGTCTCAATGATAAAAAGGAATATTATTTTTTGTAGAAATCTTGGATTCAAACAGTTATATTTATAATGTGTGTTGTCAATTAATTAATCAAATTATGAATATATATTATCTTATAAACGCCATAGACTATTGAAAAAGCACGCCATCCACTTGTGGTAGAGGGAACCATTGGCATTATATGGAATATAGATGTATTGTTTCAGCTATGGAATAACTCAAAAGGTTGCTTAAGTAAGACACAGCGAAACCCCATTCGCTATAGTTTTCCTATGGGATTTAAAGGTAGTGAACAATGTTTGAGTTGCCAATGAAAATCAAATTATCAGGTACAAGAGAAAAAGGTATTTGCAAAATTTACCTGCACCCCATTTGTTGCAGCAGTGGAACATAAGGGAGGCAACCGGTGACAGAAAGAGTAGCCGCCTATGATGTTGGAAAATAAAATATATGAATTCTCACAAAATAAAAAATGAGAGAAAAGACAATTGAATAATTTTTATAATAAGGGTTTCTCTTTATTTTTCACACATTGCAATGTGCATTACAATACGTATATAGGACTTACATTCATCATAACTTAAACTCAAATTTAATATTAATAACTCTCCTATTTAATGAAATGAGTTTATGAATTCAACTAAACTCACAAGTTTAATTAATTAACCTGGCATATTTAATTCTTTAATAAAAAACAAGTTTAATTCCTAACATCCCTTAAACTTGATTTTGACCAACTCCTAACAATCTCCGGAACTTGCAGAATACATCATACTTCAGGCTTGGTGAAAATATATGCAACATGATCAAAAGAACTTACGGTAATCTAGATGCACTTATTTCTTTTCAAGACATTCACAAATAAAGTGATATCGTGTGTCTATGTGTTTACTTCGATCATGAAATATTGGATTCGTTGCAAGAGTTAGAGCAGACTTGTTATCAATCAAAATCTTTGTAGCATTTTCTTGTGGGAGTTGAATTTCAATCAACAATCTTTGTAGCCAAATAGCATGACAAGCACAAGACATAACATCAACATACTCCGCTTCACAACTAGAAAGTGCCACAATTGATTGGTTCTTAGAACTCCATGAGACAATTGTATCTCCCATAAAAAAATACATACCAACTAGTGCATTTTCTATCATATTTATCTCCTCCAAAATCACTATCACAGTATTCCATAAACTCAAATGTATTTGAAAATCCATAAAACAAGTCATAATTGAGAGTACATTTGAGATACCGAAGAATTCTTTTTGCTGCCGTTAGATGAGAAGATGAAGGATTTTCCATGAAACGACAAACAAGTCCAACAAAAAGAATATCAGTCTTGTAGAAGTTAGATACCATAAGCTCCCCATGCGACTTTTGTACATCGCATGATCTACTTTATTTTCTTCATCAAATTTTGAAAGCTTCACTCCACATTCTATCGGGGTGTTAACAGGCTTACACCCAAGCATGTTAAACTTCTCAAGTACTTTCTTGCAATAGTTTTCTTGAGAAACAAAAATTCCAGTACTGGTATGCTTCACCTCGAGGCCCAAATAATAAGACATGAGCACTAAATCAGTCATTTCAAATTCTTTTAACATATTCCTTTTGAAATCTTCAATCATTGTTGGGTTGCTCCCTAAGAAAATGAGATCATCTACGTAGAGACAAATAAGCAAAATATCATGTTCATGGATTTTAACATAAAGTGCATACTCATGATTTTAAATCCATTATCTTGAAAATATTTGTCAACTCTACTATTCCAAGCTCTTGGTGCTTGCTTTAGGCCATATAAATCCTTATTCAACTTCAAGACCTTCTCTTCTTGTCCTTCAATTACAAAACCTTCTGGTTTTTCAACATAAATTTTTTTCTTTAAGGAAACTGTTCAAAAAAGCTGATTTATATCAAGTTGATGAATTTTCCATTTGTTTTGTGTAGCAATAGAAATTACTAATTTGATTGTTTCCATACGAGCAACATGAGCAAATACGTCATCATAATCTACACCTTGCTTCTGTGTGTAGCCTTTTGCAACATGAGCAAATACCTCTCCACTTTTCCATTGATAATTTTTTGTTTGTTTTAAATATTCACTTTACACTGATGGGTTTATGACCTTCAGCTAAGGTAGATAACTTTCAAGTCTCATTCTTCTTGATAACATCAATTTCTTCATTCATAGCATGTATCCATTTCTCATATTTTATAGATTCTTTAAAAATTAATGGTTCATTGTTTGCAAATAAACAAAAAAGTGAATGATTATTATTATTTTCTAAATAATAATCCTTGTACCTTTATGGAAATCTCCTCTCCCTTGTTGATCTTCGAACAACTGGAGTTTCTTCTCCTTCATTTGTATCTAGTACAATATTCTTTATTAAATCTTGTGTAGAAGGTGGTGGTGGTGGTGGTGGTGGTTGATCATCTATCTCATCATCTTCAGTGTCAAAATACGAAAAAAAGTCATACAATTCTTCTTTTCAGACATTCCAGTCCCAAGTTCTTTGTTCATCAAACTCTACATCTCTGCTGGTAATCACTTTTCTTTGTATCCGGTTGAAACAACTTATATCATTTTGAATTTGAGTCATAGCCAATAAATAATCATCTCATAATTCTGTTAAAAATCTTGGATCTCTCTTGTTCAGCAATCTGAGCATATGTAATACTCTCAAAGACTCGTAAATGTGAAACATTAGGCTTCTTTTCGCTCCAAGCTTCTTGAGGTGTTTTATCATTCAAACTCTTGGTAGGACATCTGTTAGAAAGATAAACTGCACAAAAAACAATTTTTGCCCAATATACATTAGACATTTGTTTACTTTTTAACATACTTTTAACCATATTGAGATTTGTTCTATTCTTCCTTTCTTCAATACTATTTTGTTGTGGAGATCTAGCAACTGCTAAAGGACGATGAATTTCATGGTTCTTGCAAAACACATTGAACTTTTTTGATGTGAATTCACCTAATCTATCAGTTCTCAAAGCTTTGATCATATAACTACTTTGATTTTCCACCATTATTTTAAAGCTTTTAAATTCATCAAAAGCTTCAGATTTTTTTAAAGAAAATATACACATGAATTCCTGCTAAAATCATCAGTAAAAAGTAAGAAATAATTAATTTTACCAAAAGAGGATGGTCTTATGGGTCCACATAAAATCTGCATGAATAAGTTAGAGTGGCATCGTTACTCTAGAAAATGATTGCTTTGGAAAGTTATTCCTTGCATGCTTGCCAAGGACACAAGCTTCATAAAGTTGCTCCAAATATTTGATGAGGGGAAGACCTTTGACTCTCTTTTTTTCTATAAGAGACTTAAGACCACTAAAATTCAAATTCACATATCTCATATTCCATAGGCAAGAAGAATCTTCCACACAAGCCTTTAAACACTTGGTTGTGTCAATTTTTAGATTTAACAAGAACATTCTGTTTCTTGTCATAGCAACTTTTGCAATAGGCCTGACATTTTTCGTCAATTAGAGTAAGACTGTGATTTTTCATTTGAATCTCATAGCCTTTTTCTAAGAGCTGTCCCAAACTTAAAATATTACATTTTAATTTTGGAACATAATATATGTCTATGATAAGTTTCTGGTCACCAGTTTCTAGGGAAATTAAGATAATACCTTTGTCTTTGATTTCAATCTTGGAAGAATCTCCAAATGTGATTTCACCATAATACTCTTTTAATGTTATAAATTTTTTTTCTTATCACCATATATATAATTACTAGCACCAGTATCAAGGTACCAATAACCACCATCTTGGTCATCCCTTTTCATATCTAACAATAGCGTAGCCTCATCGGTGTCTTCTTTTGTCTCCATCAGGTTTACCTTTTCTCTTGTTTCTTCATTTCTCTCTCAACATTCTGAAGCATAGTGACCAAATTTCTAACAATTATTACTTTGTACATTGGATTTTTCATACCTTTTATTCTCATAATTTCCTCTTCCATGTCCACGTCCACGGCCTCTTGATGATTATTAGTTTTTTTCATTATTCTTGAATAAATTCTGACCACGCCTTGTTCCTTGTCCACGTCCTTTACTTCGTCCACGTCCTCTTCTAGGGCCTTTTAGACTAGTCGCACATTTTTCACTTGTTTATCCCTTAGACTGAAGGGACAACTTCACTTGCAATACTTTCCCTATATAGTTGGTCTTACTTCTATTCAACCTCTTCTCATGAGTTTGTAGTGAACCACTTAATTATTCAATGGACATAATTTCTAGGCCTTTAGATTCTTCAATACCAACAACAATGTGCTCAAATTTTAGATTTAAATATCGAAGAATCTTTTCAATTACTCGAATCTCGAGCATTTCTTCTCTATTCCTCTTTAATTGGTTAACAACAACTTGTACTCTAGAAAAAATAATCAAATATGGTCTTCGATTCATTCATGCGAAGTGCTTCAAATTCACTTCGTAATGTCTAGAGATGAATCTTATTCACTTTCTCTGCTCCCTTAAAGGACTTCAAAAGAATATATCACGCTTCCTTTAAGGTTGTTGCACTTGCCAACTTTTCAAAGGTTAATTTATCTAAACATTGATGGATTATCGAAAGAGCATGTTGATCTTTCTTTTGATTCTTTTCTAGAATATCATTTTGACCTTTTATTCAATGTTGTTTCATCTTCAGGTAAGTCATACTCGCTAGAAACAATATCCCAAGAACCTTGTGATCCGATAATTACTTTCACATAGATAGACCAACTATCGTAGTTTCTGTCGTAAAAAACGGATAATGAAATAGAAGTGAACGTTTCTCCATAATCTAGCTCTGATGCCATTTTTTGGAAAATAAAAGATACAAATTCTCACAAAATAAGAAATGAGAGAAAAGGAAATTGAATAACTTTTATAAGAATGGTTTCTCTTTATTTTCCACACATTTCAGTGTGCCTTACAATACATACATATAGGACTTACATTCATCATAACTTAAACTCAAATTTAATATTAACAACTTTCATATTTAATGAAGTGGGTTTATGAACTCAACTAAACTCACAAGTTTAATTAATTACACTGACACGTTTAATTCTTTTAAAAAAACAAGTTTAATTTCTAACATATAATTCCTAAATAGCTGCCAAGTCATGCCACTGAGTGCTCTTCAACAGTAAGTTCTTGACCGTCGTTAAGACGATATAGAAGCTCCGTAGGTCGAGGCAATTTAACTTTGAAAGGTGTTGGAATTGTTGAATATGAAATTCAGAAGTGTCCCCTCTAAGTGTATCGCCCCAAATCCAACCTTTACTCAATGTCGAATTCGCAAGTGTCACATTCAATCACTGAAGTAAATCGAGACTTCTTGACTTTGAAACACATGATTTACTCAAATTTTTAAAACAATTTATAATAAACATGAAAAACACAAAATTTATAAAATTAGAACTCATTTGTTTAGAAATCAAATACAAAATAAAATAATATAAAACCTATTTGTAATACAAAATAATAAAAGACAATTCATAACCCTACGTGCCATTCAAGTCATCTCCATTGTACTATATTACTTTCACTGAGACTTTTCTAACGATATCATTGTCTCAGATCCATAAATCCTACAACCTAACAATAAAAGTAATTCAAAGAATTAGCTAACTGTTAGAACTAAATCATAATAAATATGAAATTAACTAAGATCTAGTCATGCCAAATCATCAAGAATAAAATAAATACTAGATATGGAAGTATACCTGAATTAATTGATAGGTTGAAATCCTTGAATCTTTCTTTGGTTGTGATTTTCCAAGAAGATAGAGTTCCCTTAAGTATAAACTCTATGATAAAGATAAGAATAAATACGAGATTATCTATTTTTTGGGGATCATAACCCCTTTATATAGTTGATTTAAGAATCAATTATTGTCTATACTATATAGCTGATTTAAAAATCAATTATTGTCTATATTATATAGCTGATTTAAGAATAAGTTATTGTCGATATTTATAACGCTCCCCTCATCGAATTATAAATACAACTTTAATAGTAACTACACTTTTATTTCCATGACAATTCTAATATCTTATGACTTTATAACATAATTGGCCACTTAATTTATGTCATATAAATATGTGTCCATAATCATGGATTTTAATCCAACATTCTCCCGATTGGGCAACATATTTTCCTGGTAAATTTATAACCTTATAAGGTCAAAATTTGTTATCATGTAATATGTATTCTATAATAATCTCGTTCATCAACTGTATCCATCTAGGATCAAAGCGGCCTTTGTCATATCTATCATGACTAGACCCATCAATGGCCACGAATACAAACATAGTCAAATGACATAGATCAGTCAAGGAACATAGCATGC